TCATCAGAATCGTTCTAGAAATCATCCGGACCATTTCCGGATGATTTGGCTGAGCGTTATGGAACTTCAGTATTGTTTCGAAAACAATCCTGAGATTTTAGCTCGGTACTATTTCTTGTGTGGGATGTCGAGTGCAAAGATGCCCATAAGTGCCGTCAGACAGGATGTAAGTTTCAGGTTTGTTGGTCCTTGCCCATCCAACTTAGACGTTTTAGAGCCTCTTGCGCCTAAGGTGTTGAACTGCTCTCGTGCATTTTCGGATTTTTTGAAAAACACATGGACGCGGAAGGGAAACTTTTGAGGGAGTGCTGATTCTTCAGGGTCTTTTCTCAGGCGAACCCGGAGCCTTCCGTGCCTTCAAAAACGAAAGATTTGCCCTGATCAGAAGAATGTAGTGCTTCCCCCAACTCCGATCTTCAAATCCCAAGGTTTCTCCTTCCCTTCACTCTCAAGAAGTCACGCTCACCTGGTTTCCTGAGGGCGCGTCCCCTCCTTCAATCGATCGAGGGACATGTACAGTGTCGCAATTGACAAGGCAACCACATTTCGAGATGGCTAGCGAATGTACAGTAACTGGGGCCTAACGATCTTGTCACCTCCGCTGATGACGATCGATGTGCCTTCTTGGCCACACCGATCTCGGCTTTTGTAGGATCGAGAGTTTTTTCCCCTTGAACTCTCGATCCTGTCACCCTGGGCTCGAGATTGATCCTTGTCACCTCCTTCCATCCCTCCCCAATCGTGCGATCGGTGTGTCCGATCGGTTTTTTACGTCGATCTCGCGATCGATCGAGGGAGGGGACGCGCCCTGAAACTGGTCGTGCTAGCTACGGTCGTCATTCCAAAGGCCAATGACGGAAACCTCACCGAGATTGTCCTTCCCGCCTCAAAGCTTTCTGTAGCCCTAGAAACTGTCAGCCCACTCACGATGAGGCGAAGCCATTGTCATTTCGATCAAATCCACGGATTGGCAATGGAAGTTGTCTCAAGGAATATCCTAGCGGAAACGGGTCGTCAAGCCTGACGACCCATTGACGACTAGGACAACTTCAGCTGCATTCTAATTTAGCCAACGCGGTTCGCAAATGCAATCCATTGACGGTCTGCAGTGGAAGAAGCTGACGGGCCGTTATCTGCCCGCGGTCAGAAAAAAATAAACCCCATCTGGATGGCATGCGATTAGGGGAGCCCCAACCCTAAACACGGGCAGCCGCATGGTGTTGCCCGACAGGCCGACATCTTTCGTCCAATAGAAGCAAAGGATTGCATTTGCAAACCCGAACTGGGAAAATGAGATTGTAGTTCGAATTGGCCGTTGACGACTTGACGACATGCTGCCCCGGGCAGAAAAAAACTAAAACCCCATCGGATGGCATGCCATCCGAGGGAGGCATCAACCTTAGATCCATGCCTCCCTGTGTTTAGGGTTGATGCCTCCCTGACCGGATGCATGCCCGTCTGGGTTTTAGTTTTTTTTTTTTCCCGTAAGCAGCGAGCTTCCCCGGGCGGAGTCGCTTGTCCGCTAAGATATATTCGGAGGTTAGGTTTCCTACCTCACATCTTCCTGTGCCCCTACAGGTTGCCAGCCCTCACGGTATGGCAATCCCGTTGTCACCTCGATAGCATTCGAACCACGTCAGTACGGCTAGGCACGGAAAATATGCCTATCTGATTTTGAATGTCCCAGCCTGGCAAGTGGATCTACCGAACCAATGCACACTCCTTCGCCACTTTCCTGCTCCCCTTAAGCTCATTAGACCGTCGCTGGCATCCAAAACTCCGTCACACCATAGATCGCATCATCGCGACACACCCGCTCATCATTTCGACTCGAATCAATTGTAGGTCCAGCATTTGCGTGTTGGTTGCTCTAAATTCGCCACCCTCCAATCCCATCCCTTACGTGGTCCGCTGGGTTTGATCCGCCATGGACTCGCTTCCCACCAACCTCCTCTACTCCATTCTACGCTGTGCTGAGCCGACAGCATCTCATGTATTACTAGCGCAGATGGCGTGCGTTTCTAAAACACTTAATCGCATGGCAAAGGAGTCCCTGTGGCAGCAGTACTGCCGGGAGACACTCGCTGAGCTCTTTGCGGACCATCTTCGGGATGCGATTTTGACCGGCGTCAAGACGTATGAAGCATACTTGCGCAAAAATTTTCAATGCATGCTGGAGCGGATGGATGGAGTGGACTTTCGAGCCCTCGCACGACTTATCCACTAGTGCCCAGGCGCGATGAGGGGGTGGCGAGTTGCAGGAGACGAGCAGGAGCGTGACAAGCCGCACATGCGCTTGCATGTGTCCGCCTTTGGTTGCATCTCTTATGATAGCGTGGCCCTGACCATTTGGTGCTACTGTCATCGAGATGCACTGGACCAAACCGATAAGTCGCATCTCCAACAAGGACTTTATCTTGGCACCAATATTGACTTGTAAGGCCACTCCCTCTACTCGCCCTTCATGTTGATGCTCGTTCTTTTGAGTGCTCTGCCGCGTTACCCTCAGCTTTCTCTAGAACTGTCTTGTTCATTGAATGAAAACTGTCTTCTCACGATATTCTTTTCCTTGCCATCAGGTTGTATAATTCAAATACCGGCCGTTCCTTTGTGCAAGATGAGTCCTGCCCTTTCTGATCCTCTAAGGTGTGTCTGGTTCATGTATTTGTTCAGTGCGATGGACAAGGCAGACTGTTGTGCGGAGAGGAAAACTTACCTGAGTTTTCCCCATCTCTGTATTATCGTTTTCTCCATTTGAATAATTGAAGACACTCTGCCTGGATTTTTTGGCAGGTCAGTGACACCAGTAAAGAAAGTTTTCGCAGCTTGAATGTAAACAGTGGATCCAACACCAAAAGCACCATGCAGGCCCCCGTCGTCATTCGATATACATGCACCCAGGTGCGTCTTGCCAGCAACCCCAGTACCATGGCTTTTCTCTGTGTTGGTGGGGTAGCATACTTTCTTAAGGTGGAACACTTAAGAGTAAGGAAGGATATTTTATCCGACGCCAAAGATCAACCTCTTATTGAGTGCGAACCACGAACTATGTGCCTGGCCGTAAATCCTCTTGCAGGGGCATTTTTACTCAGCTGAAAGCGGGTATTACACCGATAGGGTGAGAGCAGTTACAACAGGACCAGTGGTGGTAGAAGAGGGAAGGGACGTTGACAAGGGGAGGGAGGAAGGGACAGTGCAAAGCATGGAAGATAGGAATCACAAAGAGGAAGGCATTAGTTACCGTGCCAACCACGTGAGTCCAACCTCCTACCTCCAGCTTTTTGCTATTGCTGATTTTATAGAACGATTTGGTTGCCAGCATTCTTATAGATGTTTTTTGTGAGAAATTCTCTAAGTCTCTCCATTTCTGGACACTGCTGGAGCTGCTGGTATGTATACCCTGTACTCAGATTCGTTCATGCAGAAGCGTTCAGTCGTATTACGTGGTGCTGTGGGCTTGCGTTTGGCCGTATAAAGCGTGGAAGTCATGCGGGTCACTCTTGCTGACAAGATCAAAACTCATCCGGCAATGTTATTCTCATTTTCTCTTCCCTTCCTTTTTTTTTTTTTTTTTTTTTCCAGAGTCAGTCTACAACTGCAACGTCCGACATGGGGGCGCCTTCAGCTGCAAGCAATCCTGCGCCTGCTGCTGCTCCTCATGCCGACCCTCGTGCTACGGCTGCTACAGCTATTCAGGCTACACCATCACGCCGTTGCACCAACCAACTGGCATGCTGTTGCCTCTTCAGGTAACCACTAACCCATTGGAGGGGGGAGGAGGCAAGGTTGGTAGGGTCGGGAGACGTGGGGGGAGATAGGCAGAGGGGGTGGAGGGAAGCCGACCTCCTCAACCCTGTGCCGACCTCCTCAAACCTACGCATGCTTCTATTCCATCCACTATGTGCTGCGCAACCAACCCTTGCAACTCAACGTATCAATTCATAAAGCCATCATTATCACACTCTTGTTTTTGCTACCTTCTGCTGCTCCAGCTATGTCCTGCTGTGCCTTATCTTCCATTTCTCACCATGTCCACCATGCGCCATTCACCACGTACCATTCTCTCCTCCCAACGCATCTATTCATTCCTCCTCTGTGACCTTCCCTCCTCCCAGCTGACAACACGAATGTCGAGTCGAGCTCCTCCACACCAGAGGCCGAGACACCCCCTTCTGCACCCATTCTGATCTGATCTGACATGATGTCATCATGTCATGCATGACAACCAAGCTGCCCCAGTATCGCTTGCGGCTGTGTAAGTAAGCTACCGTGTTTCCATCCATGACATGCTGTTCAAAGAGAGACTGTTCCTCTGACAGTGCACTGGCGGGCGTCACTTCAATTGTTGTATCATGATGATGAATACACACATTGCTTATGGTAGGTTATCATCACTATTGAGTTCACATTTCTCTCAATCACAAAGCACTCTCGCTGCTACACCCTGACAATGGCCTCCTGATTGTAGTACAGTGGGTTTTTTTTTTTTTTTAATAGTTTTATTGGTGATGTAAAATGGCCACGAGTCTCTTTGCATCTAAAGTTGCCATGCTGGTTGTCCACACCAGTTACCGGTACAGAACAAGAAACGCATCAGTTGAGAGATCCGGGGGCTTTATTCCTGGTGAATCTGATTGTTGCTTGCTTGCAGTTGGTGCTTCAAACCTACCGTAATCACCCGGACATACCACCCGCCGAAATTGAAGACCCCCCGGGTGGCTTGTGCGGGGTGGGTGCTATAGCGGACCTCGTTTCTACTATACCCCCCTCTTGGGGCGATCCGGTATAAGACCCGGGGGGGGGGGGGGAGGCTATGTGCGGCAAATTCACTATTTTCGCCTAAATTTGACAGGTGCACCATGCTATAATCTTGTACTCTTTAACGTCAGCACAAACAACCTAGATTTGAGGCCTTACAGCGTTAACAGATCCCTCACACGGTTTCCCATCCTACCTGCATTAGTTACCTACACATCTCTAATTAGAAATTAAGTTGCTACCTACTCATCATCGTCCCCAGCATGCCACTCCTCAACCTCCTCTCCGTCGGGGAGCCACCAGTCAAAGCCGGCTTCGCTCCACTCTTCTGCATCCCCGCCTTCTCCAGCCCCGTACCCCTCCTCCTCCACCTCCATGGCGTCGTCGTCCGCCTGCAGCACCTCGGCCGTCACGCGGGCTTCCGCGTAGTAGGGGTTGACGACAACCTCGTCGTCAACCAGCTCGTTCACATCCTCCAGCAATTCCACCTCACCCTTGTCCTGCAGGTGAGTGAGGACGAGGTGATCTTCGCTGCCGTCGAGCTTGGTGGAGATTCCGCAAGTGACAAACGACTTCTTCACGAGCTCCTCTGGGACCTCGCGCCAAGACTCGTCGATCCACTGTAGAAGTGTCCCCGTAGGAGGCTTCTGCAGATTGCCTGAGGGATGGGCGTGGCAAGCAAGAGGTTTACCATGAATGAATTGCATGGGCATCCGTGCACATCAGTTAACAAGGAAAGCATGGCACGAACTCACCTTTCTTCGTTTTCGTGTTGATCCCGACATCTTCAAACTAGGTGCCATAGCGATGACGCACACCGGCCTTGAACGCGCGGTTCACAGCCACGTCCAGCGGCTGGAGAAGCGGGGTGCACCCCCCCGGGATGACCGCCCGCGTCAGCCGGAACATGCGCATGGTCTGACCGACGGCTTCGGTCAAGTGGCCGCGGTAGGAGCCCAACACCACTAAGGACTCCCTGCGGCGTCCATTTCCCTCGCAAATGGGCTTCAGAAACGGCACAAGGACCTGGGTGATCCACTCCTGCACAAGAGATTCATCCATCCACCCCTTCTCTTGTGCACGAACCACCACACCTGACACATACAACGCAAAGAGAGAATGGTTACATGGAGTTCCTTACAATTACTCGTGTGCACGCGTCGTCACTAAACACATACCGGCAGGGATGGTTACTTTGGGGATGGTTTTGCGCTTGAACACTACATACGGAGCCAGCATGACAGTAACACGTTCCTTCTCATAGTCCGCAGTGCGCACATGGACAGTCCGCGCTCCCTTCGTTTCGATCGTACGCTCCGCCGGCATCTCCAAGAAAAGCGGAGTCTGATCCGCGTTCACGATCAGGTCGAGGGGGTAGTCATGGAGGGAGCGCATCCGCATCAGGAACTCCCAGAAAGACTCGACCTTAGCCTTGCAATCTGCAATCACAAACACAAACAGAGCATTAGATGTAAACACATGAGCAACTGTGGAATCTGTTCATTCACAACTTACCCGCTGCTAACTTCTGTCCCATCTTCGTCTTAACCCGTCGAGCCAAGTGCCAAAGAGCGCGGAAACGAGTCGACCAGCGGAAGGAAGCGCGCCAATTCACCCCGGGCATCCAATGCCTCATCCGCTTGGCGCTCCACTGCTGCAGCATGTTGACCGAGACTGCGAGGCCCTTAGCACGGTGCTTAAGAAACCGGCGGTACACGGCCCGTTCCATGAACGGGTACTTCGCCTTGCGCCCGGCTCCCATGAGGCGACGGCGGCATCCGGAGGCGACCTCCAGACGCTCCTTCATCCGCTTCTACTTATCAGAATACTAGCGTAAGAATGATGCATTGGAAGAAACAGTTGGGTACAAGTAGCTAACCCTAGTTGGGGTTGTACCCTATATTGGCTACCCCACTACAGCCTACCAACATATAACACATTACAACTTAACACACCCCCATAGGCAAAGTGGGGGAGAACAAGGGGTCACAAGACCAGTCCAGCAAAGCAAAACAAGCCCAGGGTGGATCACAACGTCACCACACTCCGAGCACAAGCAAAGGCCACAAGGCCAGTTCACATGCAGTGCTAGATATAGAACAAGACAAGCAACAAGATATATATAAAGTACAGTACAAAGAAAGTCAAGCAGTAAGCAAATGAGGGAATGTGGACACAAGGCCTAAAGAAGTACAGTGCCGCTGATGATCACTAGGCGGGAGCGCCTTGGTGAAGATATCAGCAGTGTTGGCCTTCGAGTCCACGTACACAAGCCAAAGCTGACCGCGCTGCTGCAGCTCTCGAGCAAGAAAGTAGCGAAGAGCAATGTGCTTCGTCCTGTGCTCCAGTCTGTGCTCCTAACACAAGGCAAGGGCCGCCTTGTTGTCGCCGTACAGAACTGGAGGAGAACTAGGCCGCTCTCCCAAGTCAGTCAGCAGGTAGGTGAGCCAGCGTAACTCCTGTGCAGCCATGGCCGTGGCGTAGATCTCAGCCTCACAACTAGAGCTGAGAACAGAAGAAGAGCGGGTGGACCGCCACGAGACAGAACCAGAGCCAAGGCTGAAGGTGTAACCCTGCGACGACCGCTGCGTAGCCAGGTCGTCCACCCAAGAAGCGTCCGAGTGACCAGTGAGGACAACTCTGTCGCGTCCTCCAAGCACGAGCCCCATGCCTGATGTACTGCACAAGTAACGCAGCACCCTCTTAGCAGCCTCCCAGTGCTCTCGCCTGTGTCTCCCAGGCGCAACGTAACGAGCAAGGATGCTAAGAGGGTACGCGAGGTCAGGTCGTGTGCAAGTCATCAGGTACATGAGGCAGCCTACAAGCTCTGGGTACGGGCCACTCGGCTCTACGGACTCGTCCGAAGGTGGAGCTGAGAGCGAGTGGCTGGTAGCCAGAGGTGTGGCCTGTGGTGAGGAGAACTGGAAGCCGAAGCGCTGAAGGACCTGCTGCACCATGTGTGACTGAGTCAGGGTGATGGTGCGGCGTGCTCTGTCCCGGGTGATCTGCAAGCCAAGGTAGCTACGCAGCTCACCCAGGTCAGTGCAGGTGTGTCTCTTCTGCAGCTCCGACTTCACACGAGCGAGTGCCTCAGTGTCAGCAGTAGCAAAGACCAACTCGTCGACGTACACGAGGATGTAGAACGGCGGCAGCGACGTGTCTGTGCGCAGAAACAGTGACGGGTCAGCAGTGGAAGGAGCAAACCCAAGGGCCGCAAGTGTAGTCCTCAATGTGTCGTGCCACTCGCGCGGCGCCTGGCGGAGACCATAGACTGGCCGTCGGAGGCTCCACTGGGTACCAGGAGGGAACGACCCAGTGAAGCCAGGAGGGCGGCGCAGCCAGATCTCCTCGTGGAGGCTGCCCTGCAAGAAAGCTGTGCTGAAGTCAAGAGAGTGCAGCTCGTAGTCACGCTGAGCAGCAACGTGCAGCAACACCCGAAGAGTGGTCATCTTCGGGGTGGGGGAGAAGGTCTGAAAGAAGTCAACCCCCTGACGCTGACTGAAGCCTCTAGCAACGTAACGAGCCTTGAAGACAGGTGGAGAACCTGGCGGCCGCTTCACCCTGAAAATCCACATGCCATCGACGATGTTCGCCCCAGGAGGGGGAACCTCGTCGACATAGGTGCCTGTGGATTTCCAGGATGCCATCTCTGCGTCCATGGCTGTCTGCCACTGAGAGGAGTAGGGACCCGAGATCGCCTCTGCGTAAGAGCGCGGAGTGGGGATGTCTAGTGCATCCGGGTCTCCCTCAGGGGCAAGCAACCAGGCCACGAGATGAGGTACAGCAGCCGCAAGAGAGTCAAAGTCCTCCTGCCTGTCCTCAAGGACGTCCGTGCCAAGAGCACACTCACCCCCGACGGACGGAGGACAGACAGACTCAGACTCAGCAACAAGACTGGCGGCGTAGTCTAGACGACAGGCAGCAGCAAAGTCGACAAGCTCAGCGACCAGGGCAGACGCAGCAGCAGACTCAAACAACGGGTCAGTGACAACAGTGGCGAGAAGACGCGTAACAGTAGGGTGGGCAGCACGAACACTGTCAGACTCAGGGTCGGGAACGTCAGGAAGAGAAGACGCAGGAGGAGACGGTAGGGGGACACGTTGTGGGCCAGTGGAAGGACGAAGGGCCATAATGTGCGTGCCAGGAACAGGAGGAGGACGCGGACGCGCGACACGACGACCAGTGGGAATAGTGCGTGCAGTGCGAGCAGCGCGAACAGGAGAGGCAGGACGAGACGCAGGCTCACGACGCTCCGTAAGCGAGTCCGGTTGTGCAGTGTAAGGCACCGGAGCAGGGAGGGGGGAGCCAGGCTGGAGGGGAAGGCCAGTGGAAGACGGGAGGGAAAGAACCTGGCGAAGCACCGTGTCAGGCGGTGGCAAAGCCGACGGCGACGGTGGAGCGAAGAACAGTCGCGACGGCGGAGCTCCGCCAGTACCTCCAGCACCCGCAGCACCAGAAGCACCAGTACCAGCGCCCCCCGCCGCAGCACCCCCAGAGCCGGCGACGTCAGCACCAGAGGCCCCAGCAGCGTCAGACCTCCCCTCGCCAGCACCTCCAGAACCAGCAGGACCAACGCGTCCAAAACCGTCAGCTCCAGTGTCGTCAGCCCCAGCAGCTCCAGTACCTCCAGGAAGAGCACCCCCAAAGCCGGCAGCTCCAACCCCGCTAGCACCGCCAGCTCCAGCAGCTCCAGCCTCAGTGCTCCCAGAACAACCAGCCCCGGCAGCTCCAGTACCTCCAGGACGAGCAGCTCCAGAACCTCCAACTCCAGCAGGGCCACGAGGACGGCGAAAGCGCCGGACGTACCAGTCACGAAGCTGCTGCTGTGTGAGAGACGGCTCAGCACCCCGAACCGGAGCACCCCCAGACGCAGCAACCCCAGGCTCCGTAGGCTCAGTCGCAGCACCCCCAGGCTCAGCACCCCCAGACTCGGCACCCCCAGGCTCAGTACCCCCAGACTCCGTACACGCAGGCTCAGCACCCCCAGTCGCAGCACCCCCAGGCTCAGCACCCCCAGGCTCCGTACTCTCAGGCACCGTACCCTCAGCTCCAGCACCCTCAGTCCCAGCACCCGCAGCCCCAGCACCCCCAGGCCCAGCACCCCCAGGCTCAGCACTCCCAGCAGCACCACCCGCAGCAGCACCTGAGTCACCTGTGACCTCGACAGGCTCAGCGACGGGAGGAGGGTCTACCTGAGAGACACCTGAAGGAGCAGGACCCTGAGGGGGGAGGGGGTCTACCGGAGGGGGACCAGGAGCGAGGAAAAGCGGCGGGGGAGGGAGGGGGGCAGTGCGGTAGGGGAAGAGACGGTAAAAAGGGACCGACTCGTCAAAGGTGACGTCCTGAGAGGCGAAGACCCGGCGCGAGGTGGGGTGGTAAAACTGCCAGCCAGGCGCGTCAGGGACAAAGCCAAGGAAGACACAGGGAAGCGTGCGGGAGGAGAGCTTGTCCGCGGACGTATCGCGGACAAGGGCACGAGCACCCCACACCCGGAAGCGCGACGCATCGCCAACCTCCCCCGTCCAACGCAGTGTGGGCGAGGTCTCCGGCAAGGAGACACGGGGCCAGAGGTTGAGCTGATGCGCGGCGTACCGGACAGCAAACGGCCACAGAAAATGGGGAGCCGCCGCATGGACCAAGGAGGTACGAGCGACCTCCATGACCAGGCCAATGCGGCGCTCAGCAACCCCATTCTGCTGTGGGGAGTCCGGAAGCGTGAAGGTCTGCTCGATGCCCTCCGCCTGACAGAAGGTCCTCAAGAGGTCGGAGGAAAACTCACCACCTCTGTCAGAGTGCAGACGCAGGACAGGAAGATCTGTCCGGAAACGGCGGCGGAGCTGGAGACGAACTGTGCGGATCCAAGGGATCAGAACAGCAGGGACCTCACCCTTGGTGCGCAAGGGGAAGACCGTGGTGTAACGCGAGTAGTCGTCGACAACCAGCAAAAAGTACCGCTCACCGCCCTGGCCACGAACGCGGGCTGGGCCCCACACGTCCAGGTGGAGGGTCTGCAGAGGAGCCTCTGTCGGGGGGAACGAGGAGGAGTGAGGAGCGGCGCGCTGCCGCCCCTCGACGCAAGGAAGGCAAGGCGGCGCAGGCGAGGCAGGGAGGGGAGGGAGGGACCTGGGAAGACCAGACACAAGGCAGCGACGGTGCATGCCACGGAGGCGTGGCAAGGAGGGGTGACCCAGGCGGTGGTGCCAGAGAAGAGTCTGGTGCGACAGGGAACGACACTCACAGGCGTGGGCTACCAGACCTGACGCGGACACCTGACCGACAGCAGCGACCTGAGGAGACGCAGTGGTCAGTGTGTAGAGACTCGACCCCGGCTGACGGGTAAACGTAGCCAGGTGACGGCCGGTCCTGGAGCACGTGAGGATCGCCACACGCTGTCCTCCAGGGGTAAAGGTGTCAACCCACTGATCCTGGATGACAGCGTTGCTCACCAGGTTCGTCGAGAACGAGGGGAGGTGGAAACCCGACAACGAGCCAGACGGAACCGCCGGACACGGGAGCACAGTGGTGGACCGTGCAAGGACTGGGCCCCCCGAGGGGTCAGCCAAGGAGACTGGGACCGGTGCAGGAAGCGGTGTGAGCTCAGTACTGTCACGAAAGAAACAGCGGGAAGCACCTGAGTCAAGGGTGAAGGTGTGACAGGCCTCAGCCGGTGCAGTACCTGAGAGAGCAGTCTCTGTGGGTGCTGTACCTGAGAGAGCAGACTCACAAGCAGCAGGGACAGTACTGGAGGGAGCAGCCACAGAGGGCACCATACCAGAGAGAGCAGACTCACTAGTACCTAGGGCAGCGGGCTCTATACCTGGGTCAGGCGGCACACACAAGTAACAGTCTCCCTCGGCACTAACAGTCAATGCATACATGGCAGCAATAATAGCATCATAGTCAAGAGCAAAGATACCAACACAAGTCTCTGTGGGTGCTGTACCTGAGAGAGCAGACTCACAAGCAGCAGGGACAGTACTGGAGGGAGCAGCCACAGAGGGCACCATACCAGAGAGAGCAGACTCACTAGTACCTAGGGCAGCGGGCTCTATACCTGGGTCAGGCGGCACACACAAGTAACAGTCTCCCTCGGCACTAACAGTCAATGCATACATGGCAGCAATAATAGCATCATAGTCAAGAGCAAAGATATCAACACCAGCCCTCATCAGCTCCGCCCAGCGGGGGCGCTCAACATCCTCGCCGATCTCCTCACGCCAAGCGTCGTCAAGGCGGGAGAAGCAGCGGTACGGGGTGTGGAACCTCCCACACGTCTGTCCCTTGCGGTCACCTGTGCGAATGACATAGGAACAGCGGCCACTGCCCCCCGACGTCCCACGCTGAGCAAGCCACTCACGAAGCTGCTGGGTCGTCTGGGGACGCTGCTGCTGCTGGGAGCTCTGGCCCGAGCCAGTGCCTCCACTCCGACCTCCGCCGCCACCACTACCTCCGCTCCGACCGCCACCGCCGCCACCACCGCCGCCGCCGCCACCGCCACCACCGCCACCGCCGCCACCGCCACCACCGCCACCGCTCCCTCCGCCGCCCCCGCCTCCGCTGCCGACCCCACTCCCACCAGCACTCCCGCCACCGCTCCCTCCAGCACCGCCTCCCCCCCCACCTCCCCCACCTCCTCCCCCCCCAGCGCCACCCCCGCCACCCTTGCCCCCCTTGCCCTTGCCGGTGCGGCGCCTCCCACCAGGAGCAGAAGCAGCGCCAGCAGACTCAGCACCAAGGAAGTCAACAGCAGCAGCAGTAGCGTAGGAGGGAGCGAGGGGAGAGGGAGAACACCCCTCAAAGATGGGGGTGCGAGGAGCGCCACGAGCAGCACCTACAGCTACAATGCTCTTCTCGGCTGCTAGCAGCTTCTCCTCTAGGAGGGCGACTGTGAGCTCAGTGGGACAGCGAGCAAGGAAGTAGTCTCGAACTGAGCTGAGGGTGTCAGGGAGACGGGTGACTATGAAATGGAGCGTCCAGTACAGCGGAGGGGGGTTCTTAGCACAGAACTCGGTGGGAAGGGCGGCACGCAGGCGAGCGTCACTAGTGCGAAGGTGGGTGATGAGATCGGCGACTGTAGCAAAGGTGGACAGCTCAGGGAACAGGTAAGGCAGCATGAGGCGGCTAAGCTCGGTTGTGGCAGGTGAGGAGTAGCGGGCAACGACAGCGTCGTACAGGGCCTTAGCGGTTTTGCAGTCGCCAAAATGCTCGAGCTCAGCTAACGGCAGGTGACTGCGAATGGCTAGGCGAGCAGCTGCGTCACGAGTCTGCCAGTGGGAACGAACACTAAGCTCAGCTGTGGCAGGAGGGGCAGGCGCAGCACCAGACGCGTAATCATAGAGCGACACATGCTCCTTGCTATCGCTCAGGAGGAACAGCTGCAGGTCATCTAGCCAAGTGGTGAACTGCACAGGGCGGCCCTCAGCATCGAACGACAGCACGCGGATGGAAGCCATAGCGACAGTACGACAGAGCAACGCAAGCTGCCGCAGCAGGGGTGGGCAATTGCGCACGGGCAGGGAGCAGCAGGCGGCGCTGCAAGCGGGCAGCGCGGCAGGCAGGCGGCGCTGCAGGCGGGCAGCGCGGCGGGCAGGCGGCGCTGCAAGCGGGCAGCGCGGCGGGCGGGCGGGCAGCGCGACGGACGGCGCGGGGCACAGCGGGCGGCGCGCGGGGCTGCAAGGCAGCTCGACGGGCTGCGCGGGGCAGAGCGGGCGGCGCGCGGGGCTGCAGAGCCGAGCGACGGGCAGCGCGGGGCAGGGCGGGCGGGTCGCGGGGCTGCGCAGCAGATCGACGGGCGGCTCGGGGCACAGCGGGCGGTGCGCGGGGCTGCGAGGCAGCGCGACGGGCAGCGCGGGGCAGAGCGGGCGGCGCGACGGGCAAAGCAGGGGAGGGGGAGGCGCGCGGGGCTCTGGGCTGGCAGGACGCCGGTCGGCAGGGCGCACGAGGGCGCTACAAGGGCGCTACGAGGGCGCTAGGGCGCAACGAGGGCGCTACGAGGGTAGGGCGCGGGGGTAACGCGGTAACCGCAGCGTGCGGTGGTGGGCCCTAAAAAAAAAAACGATCGGATGGTCCTAGGGACCACCTGCTCTGAATACCATATCAGAATACTAGCGTAAGAATGATGCATTGGAAGAAACAGTTGGGTACAAGTAGCTAACCCTAGTTGGGGTTGTACCCTATATTGGCTACCCCACTACAGCCTACCAACATATAACACATTACAACTTAACACCACTCGCGGATCTGGACGGGCTGCACCTTAGCCAGCTTCGCTAGAGCTCGATTCGACAAGTCTGGCTGCGATTCTTGCAGTTTCAGCCAGTGAAGCTTCTCCTTCACCATGTACGCATGACGAATGCGTTTCGTCATGCGATGACGTGGGGAAGGAGCGTCGGCATCCGCGTTGCGCTTCGGAGGTCCCTGCGGGCGAGTTTGTTGCGGGAAGGAAGGTATCTTCACTTTCGGAAGCGCATGCGGAGGACGGGTTGCGCTGCTGCTCGGTTCATCGTTGGTGGCGCGACTAACGGGAGGAGACGCCTGTGGCAGGATGGGCCGAGGCGAACGGCGTGTGCCTGCAGCAGCGGGGGACTGGGTGACGAAAGGCCGCTGCCGCCTAACTACCGTGCTGCTGGAGTCTGGAGAGTTTGCCATCTACTACTGGAAGTTAGTGTTATAGGCCATATCCAGCGTTAATTTAAACCGGGAACGGGATCGAGCAGGCAGGATGTGCTCTCACACTCTGCCGAGCACAACACGAGTTCGTGGATTGGAGCCGCGGCACAAACGGAAGAGGCAAGTTATTGAGTGTGCAGGGAGGGACGTGACCACAACAGTGAGACTGCTGAGCCTATTGCAGGACTCCCGCCTCTGAGATTGCATGAATCCTCGTCGAGCGACAGGGGCTGTGTTGACGGGGGCCCTCTGTCAACCCTAAACCAATCAGGGCATGACAGAGGGCCTGTTGGAGCTTGCAATGTGGCAGCTTCCACTCGAGGCTAACGTTATCGCCTCATCCTCGGTTTTGCGCACCCAACCAACAATCTACCACTGCAGCAAGCATGTAGATTTTGTTCCCAATTGTTTCTGCTTTTAATTATATACACCATATATATAAACCCGGGTGTTATGTAGCTTTTTTCCCATGATAAGACCCCCCCCCCCCCCCCCCCCCCCCCCCCCCTTTTTTGGATGTAGTTATCATAGCACCCTAGGGTGGTATGTCCGGGTGATTACGGTAGTGTAAAACCACTCTGCAGTTAACAAAAATCTTAGAGTCATACATTCTCTTGCCTAGTGCACAAGGTTTTGCCACAAAACCACACAAGGGACGTTGAAGAATCTTCCTTCGTTGCCTTAGCGCACCTTCCTAGGCACGACTCGAAGGCGCTTGTAAGCCATCACTGACGTGGCTGTGAAGAGAGAAAACCTGAACAACAACAAAAAATGGAGAGTGCTAAGTTACACGCCACCCAGGTAGAAAGAAGGCAGCATAAGAGGAAATAGATAATTTGGTGGTGGCGGAAGACTCACCAGGTGGCCGCATAGGTGATGTGGTCGCTGGGCATGACTGCCAGCTTCACGAGCTCCTCAGGGTCCTTGGGGCGAGGGAAGCGCGGGTCGCTGTGAAACACAGGGCACACACCCGCCTGCTTGCTGCTGCTGCTGTCGCCACTGCTGTCGCTGCTACTGCTGCTGCTAACTGATGCGTTTTCTTCTTCTTCCTCGGTTGGTTTCATGGCGTCCAATAGCAGAGTGCCACATGGCAGGCCACATGCGTGGGCCATGGCAGGGACGTCCACCCAGAACCACTCGCCATGCTCTGGCGCGTTGGGCGGCACAAAGTGATTCGGCTTCTCGCTGGCTCGCACCACACCAGACACACGGATCACAGGGGGGGCGTTGGGCTGTGTGGAAGGGGAGGAAGGAAGATGGGAAGGGAAGGAGCGATATATAAAAACAGCAACTCTTGAAGTGGTTCAGCTTCTCACTGGCTCGCACCACACCAGACACACGGATCACAGGGGGGGCGTTGGGCTGTGTGGAAGGGGAGGAAGGAAGATGGGAAGGGAAGGAGCGATATATAAAAACAGCAACTCTTGAAGTGGTTCAGCTTCTCACTGGCTCGCACCACACCAGACACACGGATCACAGGGGGGGCGTTGGGCTGTGTGGAAGGGGAGGAAGGAAGATGGGAAGGGAAGGAGCGATATATAAAAACAGCAACTCTTGAAGTGGTTCAGCTTCTCACTGGCTCGCACCACACCAGACACACGGATCACAGGGGGGGCGTTGGGCTGTGTGGAAGGGGAGGAAGGAAGATGGGAAGGGAAGGAGCGATATATAAAAACAGCAACTCTTGAAGTGGTTCAGCTTCTCACTGGCTCGCACCACACCAGACACACGGATCACAGGGGGGGCGTTGGGCTGTGTGGAAGGGGAGGAAGGAAGATGGGAAGGGAAGGAGCGATATATAAAAACAGCAACTCTTGAAGTGGTTCAGCTTCTCACTGGCTCGCACCACACCAGACACACGGATCACAGGGGGGGCGTTGGGCTGTGTGGAAGGGGAGGAAGGAAGATGGGAAGGGAAGGAGCGATATATAAAAACAGCAACTCTTGGGTGGTACTGTTTGCCTGGGTCATTGGGTGGTACTGTGTGCCTGGGTCATTGGGTGGTACTGTGTGCCTGGGATCACAATTGAGAATTGGGATCTGATGTTCTCAAAAGTCATTGCAATTCTGATTCTTGCTGCCTCCACCATGACCCATGTCACCCTTGACAGTCTGCTCTGAGATGACCTCATTCAATCTGACTTTATATGTTATCATCTGACCTCGTCTGATCTGATCTGATCTGAGCTGGTCTGGTCTGATCTGGTCTGACCTGATCTGATCTGATCTGATCTGATCTGATCTGATCTGATCTGATCTGATCTGGTCTGATCTGATCTGCTTTTGACTACAAGCCTCACCTCGCTGCTGGCTGTCTCTGCTTCAGTTGACGTCCGCCCTTTACCTCCCCCCGAACCAAACCACCCCCTGCTGCTACTCTTCACACTAACGCCACCGCTGCCACTGCTGCTGCTTCCGTCACCACCACTCCTGCGTGTCCCACTGCCACCGCTCTCAACCTCCTCCTTACCCGCCTCGCCTGCACCCCCCCTGGCCCTCTCCCCCGCCATCCACGCCTCTGCCTCTCGCCTCACTGCCTCGGGCACCCACCCCCTGCTCACCAGCACTGCCGGCTGCTGGCTGCATGCGGACGAAGGGGAAAGAGGCAATGGGGGGGGGTGGGGGGATGGATGGGGGACAGGGAGTGGGGAAAGGAACAGTCAGGAGGAGCACATAACATGCACGTCTCGCCTCACTGCCTCGGGCACCCACCCCCTGCTCACCAGCACTGCTGGCTGCCGGCTGCATGGGGACGAAGGGGAACAAAAGGGGAAAAGAGAGAAATGGGGGGATGGGGGACAGCAGCAGGGAAAGGAAGAGACAGGAAGGGCACTCAACTTGCAAGTCACATGCCAGTGCATCTAACACCCACCCTCTGGGGGAGGGAATGGGGGGATACGGGACGAAGAGAGGACAGGGGATGGGGGACAGCAGGGAGGGGGGGAGAGAGGGGAGAGGCAGAGCACCCAACAAACTCACGCCTCACTGCATCCAGCACCCAGTCTAGCAGTGCTGGCTGATGGCTGCATGGGGGGGAGATGGAAAGGGAAGATAAAGGGCTTGGGGGATGTGGGGATGAAGAAATGAGCATACACATACGTGCCAGCCGGGGGCAGCACTCACCATCCAGCGGGGGGCGGCAGCGGGGTGGCAAGGAAGTACCCTTTCTGCGTGTTCGCCCCAGGCAACATGCAAGGCAAGTGAGTTACTGTCAGGGCGAATGCGCATACCTGGCAGGGGGGGGGATGAGCATACCTGCCAGGGGGAGGGATGAGAGGCGTGACGAGGAAGTACCCCTTCTCCTGCGCGCCCCTCACAGTGTGCGCGCGGGGTCCCACAAACAGCGACCGAGCATCGTCGTACCGCCCCTCACACTCCACCCGCCGGAACTCCAACTCCCCTGCTGCCCACCCAGGCTTGTTTTCTGCCGAGCCAGACTCATCTGCTGCCGAACCAGACCCGTCCGCTGCCGAGCCAGACCCACGAGGCCCAGCAGCGGCTGCAGGAGTGGCAGGTGGTGGCGGCAGCAGGGGCAGTGTGGCTTCCTCCCCCGTGGCGAGTGCGTGTGCCTGCAGTGCCTCCAGCAGCGGCACTGGCGGCTCCTGCAGGCGCTGCTGCCGCCGCTCCACCAGATCCAGCTGGAAAGACGGGCGGGGAGAGAACAGGGAGAGGAAACTTAATGGGGGAAAGAAGTAAGGGAAGGAAGAGACGACGGGCATGGAAGGGTGATGGTGTGAAAGTGACTTAATGGGGGAAAGATGGAGGGCTGCGAGGGCGGGAGATGGAGCGAAGGGGAGTAATGTGCATGATAATGGGGTGTAGCAGTGGGCGTAACAGCGGGCATAAGAATCGGCACAATTGTGAGCATATGAAAATGGGAGTCATAATGGCGAAAATTATGGGCACTATTATAGCAGCCACATAGCTTCTTCATAATTCCCTGTACATCCGTGCAGCTTCCACGCACCTTCCAGTAGTAGCGCTGAATTTGCCAGGCACCGAGGCCAAAGGCAGTGGCACACGGCAGCAGCAGCAGGCCCACCGATAGCCACGACCGCTTTGAGGGGGATGCGGGTGATGCTGGGGCTGCTGGTGTTGGGAGGAGGGGATGAAAGAGAACGGAGAAGCAAGGACAGACAAGGGAGAGAAGTGAGGGAGGGGAGGAAGCCAGCTGTAGCAGCAGCGGCAGCGGCAGCGACAGCAGCAGCAGCAGTAGTACCATTGACTGCTGCGGCTCGGGTGGTGGCATGGCATGGCATGGCATGGCATGGCACGAGAGAATGGTGTGGACGCAGGACGGCGCATTGCAAAGAAGAACGGCTCCCAAGAGAGAGAGAAGTACAGTTAGCGGGGGACATGCTCGCAAGACTTGTTGGTACTTGAAATTTCCCAAAACGCGGTGCACACTATACAGGCAGACGGCTCCAGGATTTTCCAAGAGGGGAGTACAGCTGGAGGGGGGGGGACACGTTTCCGTGGGGGAGGGCTGCTGTGGGAGAATGAGCTCGGGGGGCTGTGGAAAAAGTGGGCTGAGGAGAATGGGGGAAGGTGGGGAGGAGGGGCAGGAGGGAAGGAGGGAGGGAGAAAGCACCGAGCACCTCTAACCTGAATCTGCAGCAGCTACAGCAGTCGACAGCGGCCGGGCGGGCAGCAGCGACACCAGTTGCCCGCGCAAAGATGGATTTGAAAAAACTGTAGAACGGACGGAGGAGATCTTATGCACAGAATCAACGGCTGGAGTTGCTCGGATGGCCACAAGGGGGCTCCTGGCGGCAAAGCCATCAGGTGCTGCTGCAAGCAGTGTTGAGCCGCGGAGCAGCAGTTGCGGTGGCTGTGGATGGGAACGGAGATGGGCATGACTCCACAGGGGTTCCACATGCCGCAGCTCGCGCGCACACACTGCTGTGCTGGGCTGCAGCGGTGGCACTGACGCTGCTGCTATTGGCCAGTGGATGCCCTTTGCCCCGCCTGTGCCGTGCCGCGGGGCCGCCGTGCCATGCTTCGCAGCAGTTGCTATCTCAGCAGGTGGATATTTATAACTTCCAGAAGGCTCTGCTGCTGCGGCAGCACGACCGGACCTCGCATGGGTGCTTCTAGTAGACTCACGGGACGCGCGCAGAAACCCGCGACACACGCGATGCAACGACATGCGCTGCTGCTGCTGCTGCTGCTGCTGCTGTGTGGATTGGAAAGGCGGTGGGCGGCAGAGCTTGGCGAGACTAGCGGTGCTCTCGAGTGAAGCTGTTGGATGGGCGGCCGCACGGCATGCGAGGAGAGAGAGCTCTAAGCCACTCGCGCCACTCGCGCCACTCGCGCCACTCGCGCCACTCGCGCCACCTGCGCGTCTCTCGGATCCTCGGCCTAATCTCAGAGTCGTTGCGATTCAGCGCGTCTCGTCGGCCTCGTCGCTTCTCAGGTTCGGGATCTTCAGGGATCCGATCGGTGAGTTGATAGTAGGGGTGTCGTGAGGGGGAGAGATCAACTGGCCCGAGCGACGGGCGATGGGTAACGAGACAGGCGGGCGACGCGAGGTGGCGAGCGGTGTGCGAACAGCGGCTAGCAGCGTTGGCGCGCGAGTGAAGCAGCGAGCCCCTCGAGCGACGCGCGCGGAGGAGGCGTGGAAGAGGCGAGGAACGGCGCGGATGCGCGAGGGTGAGTTGGACAGGCCGTGGTGTTCCTGCGGGGGAATGAAGGCTCGGGAAAAATAAGTAAGTTCGTCTGGGCGATGTTTGCGAAGCATGGTTCGGATCAGTTGGGTGGCGGAAAATGTAATCTGGTATTGAAGTCTGTTCAGCGCGAATTCGCGTGGGAAGGGATCGTCGCTCGTGCGCTGCGGAGATTCGAGACGACGTCCCAAAGAAACCAGCTTCCACATGTAAACACGCCCTCGTAGTAGCACCTGTTCCTCTAACACCACATCATGTAGATGCACTCTAATCGGTAATAAACCTCGCTCTGGTTGCTACTCCAGTCTATCATCGTAAATGACAGGACCGCCATGGATTCCTCCGCGTAACTTTGGAAGCCTGTTACGTGAAGGTTATCAACCAGTTGGTTACAATGTGCACAGATCTACATTCTCGAGTTCCTTAAGAAGCAGGAGATATACTTTTTGTGTACATTCATCGGACATCTTATCTTCAGCCACTCGGGTCCAGCACTCTGTTCCACTGTTTCATCAAGAACAACTAACATCAAGGCTTCAGCATAACTTCAATGGGCCCAGTGACCAACCATCGAGCTATTACCAGGTTTCCGATGTTCCAGCAACTAACCCCAATGTACAGCAGGCTCGACATACTCCCAATGTTTCAACAGCGGGAACTCAACACATCACGCACGAGATCAAGTCTCGAGCGAACAGGAAATTATTTAAGGAGGTGGTGCTCAGTTTACCAGCAGCTCAAGCTTCCAGTTTCATCGCTTTCTCACGGAACCTCCTTCAGTTACAACTGCTGCTTCTCTGGTGTCATCATTGCACCATGCCTCCTAAGGGTCGCCAGCCGAAGACTCTGGTGGATGCTCCGCCGCCTGCGGATGACTCTCCTGATAAGCAGAATGTGGAATCCCCGGACAGTGTTACCGATCTGCTGCCTGGCAAGGGTGTAGCTCCTGATCCTGACGGCGGGAGTACTACAGGAAGCATGGACAAGGCTGACGGGGTTAATGTCACCCTCCCGTCTGCTGCAGCTGTTGACAATGCTATTGCTGGCTGCTCCGGTTTATCTGTGGAAGAGAAGGCTGCTACGCAACAGATCGCAGGAGGGTTTGATGGGGGTTTCTTGGAAGATGATTCTGATGAAGAACTCGACATTGATATTGCAAAAGAGGCTGCTTTCCGTCTTCGCTTTACGACAATCTTACTGATCCCGATGGTGCTCTCACAGGAAGTTAAAGCTATCATTGCAGCACTTCGGGTTCTGATGCAGAAAGTCTGGAGCGGCTCACTCACTGAGAATGCGGGAGTCACAACAAACATCCAAGAGATGGCTCCGGGTTACGTGGCCAAGACCCGCTTCTGTCGCCTTCAGATCTCCTTCATTGATGAACGCGACGCACATCAGATCAAGTTTCATACCTTCGAATACCAGAAGACGTCCGGCCCGGGTGTGAAATGTCTCTGGCAGCATACTGAGGACTTATCTTACCTCAAGGAGAAGTTCTTTTTAAGAAGGTTCCGGCTAACATCGTACCTGATGTGCTGAAGGATTTGCTTGTTCGCTTCAAGCTTAAGATGAGGAAGCAGACGGCTTTTAAGGACGGATTGTGCTTTCATCGCGTGGCTCACCCGCTTACCGGTGCTGACACTGACGTGGTTAAAGGCCTGGTCATCCAGCATCCTGGAGACCGCTATCGCTGGCGACATATTGTTGATAACCCGTTGGAGGTCGGCGCGAAGCTGCTGGTGCACTACCCTGAGTTGTCCTGCTCCCTCTGCGGCGGACAGCATTATGAGATTTATCATGATCTGTTCGTCACCGAGAGACAGAATAATATAGGGAAGTGGTCACTGACCCTGGGAAGGATTCACCGCATTAACGATAACTGCATGGCTCAGTTTACCGCTGACGACCTACCTCTCCCGTCTCTTACTTTTACTGACGTCTCGCGTTGCTGTCGCAGCTGCTTCTCTGAACACCTCTGCACTGATCACCCCCATCTTGAAAGATCCTGCGATTGCTCTTATCTCCACCGGCGGGAATCGCGAGGAATGGATCTGCACACAAGTCGGCTGCGAGAAAGCCAAAGGGAAAACTTTCATGGCTGCCTCAGACCATATTGCATCTGCAACTCATCTGCTGAACCTGGTGAAGCTGGGGACTGCGACCAAAGCCACGCTCGACAGGATGGTCCTCAGCAACCTGAAGAAGGATTACGGGATCTGAGTCGGAGCGAGCAGGTCGTTTTCGTCGCAATAGCCAGTTTGGTGTTGTTTGTTGGAGTTGTTCTCGTTACCAGCCTGTGAATGAAGAGGGGCTGCAAGATGGTGAATAAATGAGTAACAAAAACTTCTTCTCGTTAGCAGGCCTGAACGTCAACGGCCTCGGTGATCTGACAAAGCAATCTAGAGTTAACACTTGGACTAGAACAGCCGCAGACGTACTGATACTCTCTGACACCAGACTGCCTGATGACCATCCTTATTGGAAAACAACCTCCTCCTCTACAGTTCTAACCACCCCCCCAACCGCTAAAGCTGGAGGAGTGGCTGTGCTCACCAGAAATCCATCTATCTCCATCAGAAAGATCTCCACTCACCCTTCAGGTAGACTGATAACCGCTGAAGTCAGCCGGCCTGGTCTCACCTTAACACTCTTAGCCGCATACTTCCCTGCTGACGCAACCGACCGCAGCTCCTTCTTAGCCAAAGTCGTCGGCCCCGCCATTGATCTCATCTCTCCCACAGCGCATGTCGTTTTGATCGGGAACCTGAACATAGTTGAAGATCCGACGTTAGATAGAACATCACAGTCAGGCTCATCACTAGAAAATGACAGACTTATCTCGCGGTGCAGCCGTTTTCAACTCTCGGACGCTTTCCGCACACTGCATCCTAAGCTGAAGGAATTCACCTTCTACGCCGCCGCAAAGGAGTCCAGTTCCAGAATAGACCGCGCGCTTGTTTCCTGCTCTCTGCTTCCGCACCTGGAGGTAGCTGCACACATCATGCCAGAGGAGTACATTTCAGACCATGGTTTCGCCATCAAAGTTGCTTTTAAAGTAAAAGCTACTGCTCACCTGGGCCCAGGGGTCTGGAGGTTGCACGCTGCAGCCATTGGCAGACCGGGGGTTCGTAAAGCGGTGGAAGCCGCTCTCGCCAAGGCAGAGGCGAGCGGCGAGGAGGACTTCGAATTACTGCTGGGCAGACTTAATGCGGCCCTGCGATCGTACATGAAAGAGGAGAGGAAAAGGATCAGTAAGACCACGGCGCATCTAGCGGATGTGGTAGCGGAGCTGCGGCAAGAACAGATGCGGAACCCGAGTTGTCAGCGCACCCGTGATTTGCTGTTGGTCAGGGAGACGCAACTGAGGGAGTACCATGCGTCTAAGCGGGATAGGCTGCATCTGATGGCGGGTACGAACACTGAGCTGGCGGGTGAAGTGCCGTCCCCCTTCCTGTCTGCGCGTGTGAAGGTTAGGAAGCAGCGCACACAGATTGCAGAGCTGTCAGTGGGAGGAGTAACAGTGAGAGACTCTAAGGACATTCTGTCGGCGGCCACCAAATACTTCACTGACCTCTTTGGTTCGGACAGCCGCACGATGACATCCAGTTGGAAATTGCTGCCGGGGAAGAAGCTGAGTACTGAAGCGGTGGTGGCACTGGAGGAGGACTGGTCGGAGCAGGAGGTGAAGCAAGCTTTCAAAGCTTTGGCAAATAACAAGTCGCCCGGGAGAGATGGCCTCCCGAAGGAACTTTTTGAGCAGAACTGGGACGTCTTGGGGAAAGAGTTCTTGAAGATGGCGATGAGCTTCTCGAAATCGGCCTCGCTTCCTGCCAGCATCAAAGAAGCGGTTACCATCTTGCTTCACAAAAAAGGAGATAAAGACAGTCTGGACAATTATCGCCCAATCACCCTGCTCAATTTCACTTACAAGGTGTTGGCACGCGTGGTGGCGAGCAGAATGAAGCAGTGGCTCCACCAAGTGATATCGGAGGAGCAATATGGGTTTATTCCTGGAAGAAGGATATCGGACGCGATTGGCGTGGTGGCGGACGTGGTTGAAGCAGCAAAAAAAGGGAATGAGGATTGGTACATGCTCCTGGTGGACTTCCGCAAAGTCTTTGATTCAGTGTCCCGGAGCTTCCTTTTCTCGGTCTTGAGAGATATGGGTTTTCCGGAAAGGTTCGTTGGCTGGGTGGAGGGCCTGCACAAAGACACAAGGACGAGGCTTTTAGTCAACGGCTGGCTGGGCGAAGCGGTGGAAGTAAAGTCGGGAGTGAGGCAGGGGTGTCCGCTCGCCCCGTACCTCTTTCTATGCGCAGTGGAGCCGCTAGCACAGGAGGCATATAGACGGAAGCTGGGGCTCTGCAACAAAGCTGGGCAGCGGCTAGTTTACCTGGGTTACGCGGATGACACGACGCTGTTCTTGGAGGGCAAACGGCAGATCGTCAGAGTAAAAAAACTTCTGAAGCAGTTTGCCGAGCTGTCAGGGCTGGTCACCAACAGAGAAAAATCAGTTGTCATGCCGCTGGGACACAATCTTGGAAGGAGACCTGGGACATTGGGGGGCTTCAAATGGGCGAAGGCAGATGAAGCTGAACGCCTTCTGAGGGTCTGGATTACTCCCTCCGGCAGCAGCGAACCGACCTGGTTAAGGGCTTTCGAGAAAATAACAGTGGAGCTGATCAAATGGAAAGCGCTTTTCCTCACGATTGCGGCAAGGGTGGTAATCATGAATTGCTACATCGCGCCCAAGGTGGCTTACCAGGCTCAGGTTTACCCCCCACCGGAAGATATCTGGAAGAAGCTGATGAAGCTGATTCACAACTTCTTGTCGGGTAACAACGCGTCGGCGGAGGGAGGTTTTGTGTTGTGGAGCTGGGATCTCCTCTCCACTCCACGGGCAGACGGAGGGCTTGGAGTGCTGGACCCGGAGATCCTCATGGCCTGTCTGGCGGCTAGAAGAATCGCTGGGCTTCTGACGGAGAGGAACGGCAAGAAAAAGGAGATAATGCTTAAGGCGGCGGGGCTCCCGATGGGGGAAGATACTTTCACGGCGCACGAAAAGTTGTTAAAACACTGGACGGGAGACGGTGAGCGGTGGAAGCAGACCTACGAGGCTTTCCTGAAATCCCCCCTCGCGGATACAGGGAAAGCCAACAGCAAAGAGGAGGTGGCGCAGGAAAGAATTATTTTCAACAGGCGCGTGTTGCTGAATGGTACAAACCCAGTGGGCGGGCAGAAGGAGGCGAAAGGGCTCTGGGAAACCCGCATGGGGGATCTAGTAACCAAAGCGCCTTCGGGTGAAGCGGTGGTCAAGGACATGGAAGTCCTGGAGAAGGAGCTGAGAGGCAAGGACTCCGTTCGACTGGCTCTCAAGGCTTTTGCTGCAGCCCCTGAGGAGTGGAAATCTCTCTTGGTTTCCAACGACATGGCTGGGGGGGGAAGGAGTGGAGGAAGCTGACATTGTAGCACGGACAGGAAGGGGTAAAGGAGCCACAGCATCAATTTTTCGGTCAGCAATTTTTGAAGGGGGGAGGGCAGCCCCTCTGAAGCGGATGAGGGAGGTCTGGACCAAACCAGACGCGATCTTGACGAAGCAGGCGAAGTGGTCTGGTCGTTGGAGCGGCAAGATTGATTGGCAGCGAATCATTCGCACACGCAACTCGCTGGCCATCCCGAGCCGACCAAGGGATGTTCTCACACGAGTGCACAACCTGAACCTCCAGGTTGGGGAACGAGTGGACTTTCTCAGCTGCAAGCCAAAATGCCCATACTGCGGGGAGGAGGAAACGACCGAACACTGCCTTTTCTCCTGCCCGAGAATTCAGCCAGTTGTCTCTGGGCTTTGTCGGGCTCTGCGCATGCTCAATCCCGGGAGGACAACTGCCTCGCTGGGAGACCTCCTATTCCAGGAAACCGGGACGGCGTCGGATTTTCCGGAGGCTACCCTCACAGCAATCACCTGTCATCAATTATGGGTAGAGAGATGTGAAGCAACTTTTCGAGGTCAGAAGTTCAGAGCCCGGCGGGTGCTCAGGAGGATCGGGACGGCTTTTAGGCTGCACGCGAGAGTGTACACAAGAGTAACGGGTACCAAAAGCCTGCGGTCAGGGCAGCCGGGGAAAGGCAAGCGGGTCCGGAGTGTTTTTGAGGCGGAGCAGAAAATGCTGGAGCGGATAAAGGAACCAGGCGACAAAAAGTGGAAGTGGACGACAAGCTTTGCTGCCATTTGGAACAAGCCGAGGAGGGCATTTCTGCCGCCCTAGATGCGCTGCTGGGCAATGCATGGCGCATGCCCTCACGCTCAGCTACGACTGCTTTTGATGTATGTATTATCCTCATCAATGCATATATCAATCTAAAAAAAAAAAAAAAAAACGTCAACGGCCTCGGTGATCTGACAAAGCAATCTAGAGTTAACACTTGCTAGAACAGCCGCAGACGTACTGATACTCTCTGACACCAGACTGCCTGATGACCATTCTTATTGGAAAAATGTTAGTGATAACGGACTGGAATGGTGAACTAGAAAGGATTGTGAGTACAAATATGAAACCCTAATGTTGTGACCCCCCTATAGGCTAACCCACTACAGCCTACACAAACACAACACATATAATGTTTGACACACCCCCATAGGCAAAGTGGGGGAGACCTAGGGGTCACAAGACCAGTCAAGGCAAAGCAAGGCAACAACAAGCTCAGGGTGGATCTCAAGGATACCACACAAATTCCGAGCACAAGCTAGTGGTCACAAGACCAGTTCACATGCAGGTTTATAACAGAGCATGAGATACAGTGATCACAACCTAGCAAGAGTAAACATGCAGGTAGATATATATATAGTGATCACAGTACAAGCAAGGTCAAGAGGTAAGTAAGTGAGGTCCAGTAGGCACAAGGCCTAGCAGAGTGCAGAAGCGCTGATGGTCACAAGGCGGAAGCGCCTTGGTGAACACATCAGCAAGGTTGGCCTCAGTGGCCACGTAACGCAGACAAAGCTGACCGCGCTGCTGCAGCTCTCGAGCAAGGAAGTACCGCAGGGCAATGTGCTTCGTTCTGTGCTCCAGTCTGTGCTCCTCACACAAGGCAATGGCAGCCTGGTTGTCGACGTACAGCACTGGAGGAGAACGAGGCCGCTCACCCAAGTCGGTCAGCAGGTAGGTCAGCCAGCGTAGCTCCTGGGCAGCCATGGCTGTGGCGTAGATCTCAGCCTCACAACTGGAGCTGAGAACAGAAGAAGAGCGTGTAGAACGCCAAGAAACTGAGCTGGAGCCAAGGCTGAAGGTGTAACCCTGAGACGACCGCTGAGTAGCCTGGTCGTCCGCCCAAGAAGCGTCTGAGTGTCCAGTAAGTACAACTCGGTCTCGCCCTCCAAGCACTAGCCCCATGCCCGACGTACTGCACAAGTAGCGCAACACCCTCTTAGCGGCATCCATGTGCTCCTTCCTGTGACGGCCAGGAGCGACATAGCGTGCAAGGATGCTAAGAGGGTATGCAAGGTCAGGTCGATTGCAGGTCATCAGGTACATGAGGCAGCCCACAAGCTCTGGATACGGGCCACTCGGCTCTACGGACTCATCCGAAGGCAGAGCTGAGAGCGAGTGACCGGTAGGCAGAGGAGTGGACTGAGGCGAGGAGTACATGAAGCGGAAGCGCTGAAGGATCTGCTGCACCATGTGTGACTGAGTCAAGGTGATGGTGCGCCGTGCTCTGTCCCGGGTGATCCGCAAGCCAAGATAGCTTGTCAGTTCACCCAGGTCTGTACACGTGTGTCTCCTCTGCAGCTCCGACTTCACGTGGGCAAGTGCCGCGGTGTCAGCAGTGGCAAAGACCAAGTCGTCGACGTACACGAGGATGTAGAACGGCGGCAGTGAGGTGTCTGTGCGTAGAAACAGTGACGGGTCAGCAGTAGAGGGAGCGAACCCAAGAGCCGCAAGTGTCGTCCTCAGTGTGTCGTGCCACTCACGCGGTGCCTGGCGGAGACCGTAGACCGGCCGCTGAAGCCTCCACTGGGTACCAGGAGGAACCGACCCAGTGAAGCCAGGAGGGCGGCGTAGCCAGATCTCCTCGTGCAGGCTGCCCTGCAAGAAAGCAGTGCTGAAGTCAAGTGAGTGAAGCTCGTAGTCGCGCTGAGCGGCTATGTGCAGCAGCACCCGAAGAGTGGTCATCTTCGGGGTGGGGGAGAAGGTCTGAAAGAAGTCAACTCCCTCTCGCTGACTGAAGCCTCGAGCCACGTAGCGCGCCTTGAAGACAGGAGGAGAACCCGGTGGCCGCTTCACCCTGAAAATCCACATGCCACTGACGATGTTCGCCCCAGGTGGGGGAACCTCGTCGACGTAGGTGCGTGTGGACTTCCAGGAAGCCATCTCTGCGTCCATGGCTGTCTGCCACTGAGAGGAGTAGGGACCCGCCATCGCCTCAGCGTAAGTGCGCGGAGTCGGGATGTCTGGTGCATCCGGGTCTCCCTCAGGGGCAACTAGCATGGACACGAGGTGGGGTAAAGCAGCAGCAAAGCACTGGAACTCCTCCTGTCTGTCCTCAAGGACGTCCGTGCCAAGAGCACACTCACCCCCGACGAACGGAGGACAGACAGACTCAGACTCAGACTCAGCAACAAGGCTAGTGGCGTAGTCTAGACGACACCGGGCAGCAAAGTCGATCAACTCAGCGACTAGAGCAGACGCAGCAGAGGACTCAAAGGTAGGGTTAGTGACAACAGTAGCGAGGAGACGGGTGACAGTGGGACTGGCAGTACGACGGGAGTCAGACTCCGGGTCAGGAAGAGTAGGCAGAGAGGAAGCAGGAGGAGACGGTAGCGGGACACGCTGAGGAGCAGTGGAGGGACGCAGAGTCATGTAGTGAGTGCCAAGGACAGGAGGAGGACGCTCACGTGGGACACGACGACCAGTGCGAGTAGTACGAACAGGCGACGCAAGACGAGACTCAGGCTCACGACGCTCTGTAAGACCTCCCGTGGGACCAGTGTAAGGAGAGGGAGCAGGGAGAGGCGAGGCAGGCGGTAACTGTGACGGCGACTGGACACGCGGAGGACACTCTACTGAGGGAGGAGGACAGGGAGGAGGAGCCTGACCAAGAACCTGCTGAAGAAGTGGTACGAAGTACGGTCGCGGCCGCGTAGCGTCTCCAGAACCAGCAGAGACACCAGCGGCAGGGTCCTCAGCACCAGCAGCAGCTCCAACGTCCGGGTCCTCAACACCAGCAGCAGCTCCACCGGCCGGGTCCTCAGCACCAGCAGCAGCACCACCGCTCGGGTCCTCAGCTCCAGCAGTAGCTCCAACGTCCGAGTCCTCAGCACCAGCAGCAGCTCCACCGCCCGGGTCCTCAGCACCAGCAGCAGCTCCAGCGCCCGGGTCCTCAGCACCAGCAGCAGCTCCACCGTCCGGGTCCTCAGCTCCAGCAGTAGCTCCAACGCCCGGGTCCTCAGCACCAGCAGCAGCGCCACCGCTCGGGTCCGCAGTACCAGCAGCAGCTCCAACGCCCGGGTCCTCAGCACCAGCAGCAGCCCCAACGCCCGGGTCCTCAGCACCAGTAGCAGCGCCACCCCCAAGGTCCGCAGCACCCGGAGGACCACTCCGAAGACTGCAGCGGCGTGTGTACCACTCTCGGATCTGCTGAATGGGGGGGAGCTCCTGGGTAGGAGGGGAAGTACCGGGACGAGCTCCAGCAGCACCTCTCCGGAGGCGGCAGTACTCGAGGTACCTCTCCTGCAGCTGCTGGGAGGAGAGGGCTCCTCCAGGTGTAGCACGCTCAGTCTCAGCACCCCCAGACTCAGCACCCCCAGACTCCGCACCCCCAGGCTCAGCACCTCCAGGCTCCGCACCGCCAGGCTCCGCACCTCCAGGCTCAACACCCCCAGGCTCCGCACCCCCAGACTCAGCACCCCCAGGCTCAGCACCCCCAGACGCAGGACGAGAGTCAACAGCTACCTCGACCGGCTCACCCGGGTCTACCTGGGACACACCTGAGGGAGCGGCACCCTGAGGGGGGAGGGGGTCTGGTACCTCAGCACCTGGAGCGAGGAAGAGAGGTGGGGGGGGGGGAGCGGGGCAGTGCGGTAGGGGAAGAGGCGGTAGTAGGGGACGGACTCGTCAAAAGTGACGTCCTGAGAGGCCAGGACACGACGCGAGGTGGGGTGGTAGAACTGCCAACCAGGGGCGTCCGGGACAAAGCCAAGGAAGACGCAGGGGATAGCGCGACGGGAGAGCTTGTCCGCGGACGTGTCGCGGACAAAAGCTCGGGATCCCCAGACCCGAAAACGCGACGCATCGCCAGCCTCTCCCGTCCAACGCAGTGTCGGAGAAGTCTCGGGCAAGGAGACACGGGGCCAGAGGTTGAGCTGATGCGCAGCGTATCGGACCGCAAACGGCCACAGAAAATGGGGGGCAGCCGCATGACTCAAGGAGGTACGAGCGACCTCCATGACCAGACCAATGCGGC